AGGAACATGGTATGCATTACACCATTGCTGGGCAGGTGGAGCAACACTGGGTAATGGTAAAATGGCACCTGTAAGGGGATCTGAGGCGGAAAATGCAGGGAAATTGAATTGCTGTACCTCACAATAACTATACATAGGAGCCATGCCATCAGCTATGAGAACGTCAAATGTCTGTCTGAATGTCTGACGAAGGGCTTTGTGCTTATCAAGACAGAATTTCTCATCAGGTGAACTCTTCCACAATTACAGTGAGAAAGCTTTTCCCTGAGGTTCAAAGAACAGATTTACACACTGCTAGTAATTAAAGATATAACTTGGCATGTGAAATTCATCAGGAGAGTTTTGTAAAAAATACTGCTCTTTCTGCCATACCAATAAAAAGAACACTTGGCTTGTAATTATGACCAGAACAGACTTTCACACTGAGCGCTATAACTACTGTATAACCCAAAGGAACAAAATCAAAAAAGTTAAAAAGTACAACATAGAAAAAATAAGCTATATTATACAGACCACCTGCAAACACAACACAAACAATTTTATGTCCTCTCATAAATCTCAAAAAGCGAGGAGCAGAACAGTAAATTCCTGAAGTGTGAAATGTATTTGATTCAAAAGAACCGTTCATGGTCTATGTAATCATGCATTCCAGAAAGTGTCAAGTTTGTCTTAGCAATAACATTAAAGCCACAGATGGACAGGTAAAGTTTAACTGAAAAACAATCCATCTTCGTGCAAACCGATGTCCTACTGAACTGTCTAGTTTGTCTGCCTTTTGACCATCACTTAGCACCATGACTCTACTCTACCCCAACTAATCTGAACAGGGTCCACAGCTGAACCTTTTGTTTCTTTCTGCTTTGCAATGTGGAATTAACCCGTACATGTTCCAGTAAACGTAAATATGATTTACTATTAGTAATAGAGTCTAATTAATAGTCTCTCTTTTTACACAGCTTGGGCTTATATTTTATGAAAAAATAAAACATCAAACTGCCTACAGCAGCTAACTCAAATACATTACAAATGTATTCTATTCAGAATTAAGTCGACGTTCAATTTAACTAGACAATAGTTGTTTGAAAGGGATCAAAAGAAAAGTATTTGAAGGTGACAACATTAAAGCACACATTTTAAATCAGTACTTGTTTCTTGCCATTTATAGATGGCTCAGAAATTGAAAGAAATAGAAAGCTCACTTGCAATTTCAAATTAGTTTTAATTCTACAGTATATCACTCAGGTTTAAATAAAAAAACACTGGCACAGATCACAAATACAAATTGTAGCAGTGTTTTAATAACTCAGTGTAAAATACCATGCTATGCTAGCACAAACCTTCTTTTAAACTTAAATATATAGTAGATGTTTGGCTTTTTGAAGTCAGAGCCGATCTCTTCAGTATCAGTTGTCTGGCACGACCTTTGAAAGACTGTGAAAAACAGCTTGTCACATTAAATTAAAGTATAAAAGTGATTATTACTTATTTCATTCTTTGTTAACAGTTCCAGAGAATTACTACAAATAACTAGCATATCACTATATTTGTTTTCAAATTGGCACTAGACAGAGATCATATCTAGACTTGAGCAAAGTTCTGCTGCATGAAACATGAAACTTCATTTCATGCCATGACAATTAAGAAAACAGCAGCATCAGGTCACACCAAAGCTAACAATTCTCCTATATTTTTCGTGTGATCCTTAGAGGTTGTTTATAATTTTGAAATATGTATCTTATATTCCTAACCCATTTTACTTTTAAGAATCTTCAAGATTTTATGAGAAGTAGAATGCTTTCTTAATATTAGCAGATACATAAAGGTCAGTAAAAAATTCTGGAAGACTGAGATGTAATTTACATATTGATTTAAGTGAAAGTGGTCAGCCTTTTCAGGAATTGATTATGTTCCTGAAATACAGGGATATAATATCCAGTATCGTTCAACTACTGCTAAAGAATAACATTCTAAAAGTTAGAAACAGGAGGGAAATACAGTGCTACTACCAGAGATTCTGCTTGATCGGAATCTTAAGCAGGAACTTTTGCCATTTTTGCTGTGCTGGTGGAATTGAAACTCCTAAACTGAAACACTCAAAGACCCTGTATCTCCAATAGAAGCATGATTGCCTTTAACACAGATCAATGTGGTTTTACTTTGGAAAGAAGGTGATTTTTTCAAATGTATCACTTGAGTAATTGTACATTGTTACAATATGACAGGTTATAGGAGTCTATGCCTACTTTTGTAAATTATATCAGAGTTAACCCTGTAGGTGGTTAGCTCATATTTTGTCTCCCCATTAAGAGCACTAGAGGAACTGTGGCCCCTGTAATGGTGTTTATGGCCCCATCAGGCCTACCAGTATCCCATGTGTCTCCAACTAAAGATCCTGTGGCCCCTGTGCATGTTTTCGGCACATGGGTTATGCTCAGCTATTCTCTCTTAAATGGAAAATTCTTGCTATGCATCATTTGGCATTAAAAATGTGAAAGGCATTCTTGAACAACGTGCTTGAAAGGAAAATAAAATCATTGGGGGTTGTTGAGGAAATAACAACATACATAACAGAGGTCATCACAAAGGTTATCACAGAGGTCTATGGGTTAATCAAAGCACAGCAATTTTTCATCTTCATTCAGTGCTTTCTAGTCATTTGTTTGTTTTTTCAGTCACAATTCATGCTGGTAAATTTCACCTAATCTTTAGTTGTCCATATTTCCAGAGAAATGTTCTTCCGGCCTAAGTAATTACTGGCCCACCTCCAGAAGAAACATTGCTTCACCTTAAACAGGTTGACACATGGCACAGACACAGAACGAAGACTTGGTGAGTTTCCTGGACCCTGAAAATTCTGGACTGTGGCATGTACTGTACATGAAAATGCAGCTACTGACAACAAAAGTACAATATGTTGAAAACACCAAACTGGTAGTATTGAAACAAGAAGGACAACCTGATCTGATTCTGATCTAGATGGAGTTCAAAGCAGAGAAATCACAGTACCTGCACAGTCAGGTTAAAGGAACAGGATTGTTTTGTCTAGGAACAAAAAAAGGCAATAGCTCATCACAAGAAGGGATTTAGAACCCTAAAAGGCACTGAAAAAGACAAACAACTACTTCAGAGTCAAAACATAGTGGGACAAGAATATGTAACGCGATAGCCCAGTAGATTCAAGACAGACTGCAGGTAGGGCTTTACACCAAAATGTATAGGGATAGGGAACAAGCTGCAAAAGCAATCCATGGGTCTGGATTTTCTTAGGACCCTTCAGGAAATGGTTTGTTGAACCATAGGTGTTTCCAGCTGTCAGAATGGCACAATGGGATGACAAGTCTTTTTTACGTGTTGCTGATTAAAATGTGTCCCTTGCATGAGGCAAAAATCTGCACGTTTTAAAATACTGTTGTTTAAACAAGCTTTTTACTATCTGTTTAGCCATCACTTGTGTCCTAACAGAAATCTAACAATCTAACAATCTTCATTAAAGCATAGTTTGTTTTCATATTAAATTTACTGAGGTGGTGATCTGTATGCAATAGAATGGAATGGCCCAGGGGCTGAAAAAGAAATACAGGTATGAGATAATTACGTTTTGCTTCAGTGTTAGGTGTTATTGAGTGAAACCTCAGACGGGTCCTAACACTTAACAGTGAAACAGACTTGATGATTGTTGTAGTCTTAAAATATGACAAAAATCTACTTCAATTGCAAGCTTTTAAAAGTTTCATGTCATTTATATATGTATTTTGCAATATCCCTCTTACTGTATGTCTGTAAAAAAGTTTTAAAAGTTTGTTTAAAGTTTTAAATATTCCTCATTTTAGAGCCATAACATGGTGCTACTACAAAAACCATAACTTTGTTAAGTAATATATAGGTAAGAAAGACAGACAATCTTATTTGAACTCAGTAAAGAGCAATTAAAGACCTGAATGAATAGCTAAGATAAATGCATCTTGAGATAATGCAAAAGTGTGGTTCTTTATGATCGCAATAAAAAGCACTTGTGCACAGCTGGGATATGCAGACATATTGGCTTCAACAAGAATACTGTGCTATACTCAGATGCCTTGATTACATCAACACTTTCAACACTTTACTTGCAAACTGTTATGCTCGCCCACGGTGTCGTGCGGTGGGGCAAGCTAGCATTGACGCAGCCAGCTACATCACCTTCCAATCTGTTTCTCAGCTCCAGTTGTTGCATATATAGACAGGAGACCTGGACCACCTGAAAACAATTTATGACCATGCCAGGCTCAGGTGGTTTAGAATATTTAAACTAATCTGACAGGGTTTGGGGTTCTGTTATAGAGTTTTGTCTCTGAGCCCCTCAAGCATTAGAGTGTGAGCCTGGCTTTGTTATAATCCTGATCTCCGCTATGCCTACGACTTTAGATGTGCTTTCCCCTTTAGATGTTATGCATCTCAGCTTACCCGGCCTTGACCCTATTTGTGTACCTATAACTTCAGCTAATAGATAACTGGAATACAGTAATAGACACAAGAACAGTTGCAAAAAAGAGGAGATCTTCTTTCATGATATCCTAGTAGTAGATAGCTACTAAATCTCAAATGGCCTAGATGGACTAGATAGACCTCCCGTCATTTGCAAACTTTCTTATGTTCTTAATTTCTTGCTCCCTTGAGTAAATTCAAAGAGTCATGACTCTGAATGAAAATAACACAAGGCTGTGATGTGTTTCTCATTTCCACCACCAGAACTGTTCATCTTCACCTCACTTTGTGAGAGGTAACAATAAGACTATTCGAAACTTGGTAAAAAAAAACAGGAAAATACATTTGCAAAACTCATAATATAGAAACGAAACTGTTGTGATTCTTACCTTTGCAGAAGACAAAGCTAAATGAAATAGACTGCTTTTTATACAGAACCATGTACAGTATAAACAGTGTTTGTCATAGTGCCTGTTTCATGATTTGAAGACACAGCACTGGCAGGAAGGAGAAGCTTGTTTCAGCTGGCCACTTACCCGGCTGCCTTTCTCAGGCAGGCATTGACACCCACGGCTGCAGTCTCGGCCTGCACATGGGCCCTGGAACTTCGACCCCTGTGGACACGGAAAGATAACAAAACAGCACTTAGATCAGCATGCACAGCAGCAAGACACAGTACCGCCGAAAATTCAGAATACCCTTGCACCAAACTCTGAATGAAACTCTCTGAGTCAGTAATTACATCTGTAAATCTGCTTTCTTGATCGTGGCTTACCCTTTACACTTCCCGATAAACACTTCCCCTATGGTCTCTTATTCATATCAATTGTGATAAAACCATGATTTACCAAAAGCTGTTTACAGCTGTTTGTGAGATATTATCTTTATCAATGGTACCTCATTAATGTCCGGAAGAGTAAAATGAAGACATATGAATGCCTCAGCAAAGCACTCATCAAGATGAAGAAGTCTTGCTTAGACAGTATGATAACCTTTCACACAGGAGAAATCTTGCTCCGTGTCTTACAAGCAGGCAAACCTGACAAGAGTTTCTATAGTTATGATCAGCATGTGGAGGCTATGCGCTGAGACCCCATCTGTGACGTACAGTATCGTGCAGTGTGTGGATCTGTGGATTACCAGCAACCAGTTTTTATTTCACAGTGGAAATAAGATCTGGTTAAAGGTCCCTGAGAAAATTGCTAAATGCCACCTGCTCTAAATGAGAAGGATAAACTCAAAATGGTCAAAATGGGTGGGACAGAGATGCTTGGAAACCTTTGCTTCATCCTTTCTGCTTACTATTCTGCATAAAGATTTCTGAGCTGCTGCATGCCCGCTGAGAATTCTCATTTCCTGTACTTGCAGCAGGTTTATTCACAAAACCTCTCCTGGACGGCAGCCCATGACACAAAGAATACACCCTGAGGAACTTCACTTCAATTTGGAGAGGTTGGGTTTTTTTCCTCCACCTGTTCTATTACCAAAACTAATGGTTTCACAAAGAAAACCGCATTCCCCTTTAGTACAGTACACAGTACTCAATTAAACAGCTTCCACTAATATACTCACAAAGAGCAATGTTTTTGTAAAGATGCATAGATGCATCCAGTACCAAAATGCTCACAGAGACTAAAAAGTAGCACTGCTACTCCCATAATGAGCTCGAGAGACAGTCTGTGCATCACAACATCATTCAGTTTTAAAGAGGCAGAGTTCCTTTAGTCCGTAATGCTTAAAAAGAATATGTGGAGTTTAACCATTTGTATGAGGGCAACATCTGTATATTGCAACATCCCTTTATGACATCAGACAGGACTTCTGCGTTTTATGGTCATAATGATTATTATTGTTTTCTTAATTAAGTATGCTATAATAGACTAGGATTTTCAAAGAATATATCTGTATAAGAACTGAAATCTTCCAGATAAATGTTCACTGAGTCCCCATTAGGATTTCAATCCAATTAGGTGAAACAATGGTGCATTACATGCATATAACCTGTATCACATCAAGAAGAGGGAAGGAGAAAAATTCGATCATGTGGACACAACGTGTGGACAGCGCAAATCTTTCTGAAACGCTAGGCTTTCCTATGTCGCAGGAGAAAGTCCTAATCAGTTTTGACTGCCCTTGGTGAACTGTCTGTGGGGTCATGCTGCAAGCATGCCAACACAGACACTGCACTGCACAGCACTGTGTGTCACATGCCCCAGTCTCGAACCAGGGCTTTGCCACAGGAGGGAACAGACGGCTGCTGCCATTTCTAAAAAAAATCTGCTTGTCCTGCGATCTCCCTCATCTGATCTCTCCACTTCCCCTAATCGATGTGACAGAACGAGGGTGAGCCTTACTACGTCATTCCGGGAGATGAGAAGAGGCAGACCCTCCACTGCAGAACTACTTCAAACTACTTCCAGAACCTGACATAGCATTGACCACCCCTGCCGGGCAGCCTCATGACACAGTACATATGAGGACTTTACAACAACAAGAACAAACAAAGAAACAAGTGTGACGGCTGTCGTGAGGCAAACTACAAGCGCTGCGTTAGCACGGTGAACTGTTTAACGTGTCCTCTTTTTTAACCCTTTCCAGCAAGACAGGCCCTCATCAAATAAAAAGCTGTTTCTATGCTTGTATAACAGCCTCCTCCTCCACAAGCCAAGACAGCCTCAGGGACTCCATTGGCCATGGACCGGACATTAGCACACGCCTCAGTCGTCTGCCAGCACATATAGTTTATTTTTGGGAACTTTTGTCCACACCTGGATGGGGTGGGTATGTCATTACTTGAATTAGCAGCGCATTGAAACACCTGTTGTTAAAACCGCCCCTTTCCCCTTCTGCACATCACACCTTGAAAAGCTGCCAGGGCTTGCTCGAGCCTTGAAGAAGTGATTTGAAATGGGACAATATGCATGACGTGATGAAAAAGTACATTGTTTTGCCTGAGGCAAAGCAGCAGAAAGTAGAAATCTGTCATCTGCCATTTTAAAAGCAGGCAGCCCAACGTAACATTTGTTCCTGTTATAACAGCTTTGGACATGGGGCTTGATGCAGTCTTAAATTCCTTCTGTGTCTCGATTTAATTCCTGATCTTTCAACACTTTTGAAATGTTTGCACTGTTTCAATACATACAGTATGCATACAAGAAATGTTTTTTTAAAAAAGGAGGACATTTGACCCATCTAGAACATTTGTTTGTCTGATTCAAGCTATTGTCACCCAGCTATCGCTTGAAAGAAACAAGGGTATCAGCAATATGGCTGGACAGCTTGCTCCATCCCCCCAGAAAACTTTGAACAAAGAAATTCCTAAAGCCAGCAGACATATCACCCTGCAACAACTGGCAACCCAATAAAGCTATGCAGGAGTTAGCCTGATCAGAACCTGGATGGGAGACGTGTTAGTGGGGCCAGCAGGGGGTGCTCACCCTGTGGTTTGTGTGGGTCCTAAAGCCCCAGTACAGTGACGGGGACACAATACTGTAAAAAGGCGCCATCCTCTGGATAAGATGTTAAACCGAGGTCCTGACTCTCTGTGGTCATTAAAAATCCCAGGGCGTTTCCAAAATAAGTAGGGGCTACACACTATGACTGCAGGTGGATGCTGCACACTGGTGGTGGTGGAAGAGAGTCCCCATTAACTGTAAAGCGCTTTGAGTGGAATGTCCAGAAAAGCACTATATAAGTGTAAGCAATTGTTATTATTATTACCTCCTATTCTCAGTATTACATGCACTTCCAAATATTTTCTACTTGTGGCCCATTGGACTTGTGCACATAGGATTTGCTGGGCCTGTTAGAGATAAATTGGAATCTCACTAACCTTCAATTGATGCGCCTGGATACCATACTGAAGATGGATTTTAAGATTTCAAACAATGTTCGCTAATCAGGCATTACTGTCAAAACTCCCATTGCTTCTCTTGGTGCAATCTTGTGTGCTGTTTATCAAAACCACAAACACCCCTTATCAGCTTTCATTATCTTATGGAGAAATGCCATATCACTAACCACACACAAAAACTCTCCAAGGGATGTAAACAACTCTCCAGAGCGGGTGGGTATCTGAACAGTATTAACGATGGCTTGTGCCGTATCCACAAAGTGAAGCTCATTAGGCAAGTCAAGTTCTGCATTTTCCATAACTAGGATCCAAAGAAGAAAGCCCAACGATGAAAATAAGTGAAGGTGAAATGGTAAAGACAATCATCACATCCATGTCCAGGCCTGCACAGAATACCAGTATGAAAAGTACTGATTCAGCACAAAGCAGTGGCACAAATCATAGTAAACCATGTCTATCACTTTTAGAAAGGAATCCCCCACTCAGTAATTAGAGCTTAGTACAATGTTTAGTAGCACAATGTAAGCCATTGAATTCAATGCAGAATAATGCTTCAAGGATCAGTTTAATACATGTGCACTTTCTAAAAGAGCGATTCTAACATTTCTTCTGTAATACTGTTCAATTTTACCTAAGTAAATTGCTAGTGAAAAGCTCAGTCAATCCAGACAAAATTTATACCCAGACTAAGATGATTTTCTGTGTTTGTTTTCTCCTTAGTAATGGGCTATTACATGTCTGCAGGTATTGTAGCGCCTGTCAAATTTCATTTAAAAGGGAAGGAGGTGAAAGGAGTGTTTTTACAGAGAGTGTTCAACAGAGCTTACAGTACCTCAGATTGGCTTGGCTGGCAGAGCCTGTAACCTCACACACACAACCATAACATCAAGCAAAAATGAAAACGAGCCTGACAAAGGACAAACGTGTGGGTGTGTGTGTGTGTAGGGGGGGTTAACTGGACGCTTTGCTCTTGGAAATCCTAAAGTCACCTGTTCCTGTTTTGTCCTGTTCTGTGGACATCAAATGCTCCAGATCTGACTCTTAACCTGCACACATTCCAAGACATCACATGCCCTGAACTGTTCTTGCAGGGATGGAAATGTGCTCCACAAAACCCACAGACACGCTCCCTCCAGATCAGTTTGGACCATAACCATAGCAACAGCAGAGGGCCTAAGTACTCTTTGACCAACATCTAAACATTTAAATTCAGAAGGGTAAACACAAGTAAATGTATTTTGTGAGTCACTCAGTCTTTGATGCATTTGGAAATGTAAATAAATAAATTAAAGAGTAGGATTGCTGTAAAACTATGAAGATGGTACATTTTGTTTCACAGCTGCGTTTTGATGACTGACAGAGTATATAGGGAGTTTTATTTTTCACTTTGTCCCTTTAAGTTAGATGCCATTGAAAGACCACAACTAAAGAGACTCCCCTAAAATCCCTGAAGCTCAAGACACCAGCCACGCCTCAACAAGTCACTGAAATGAGCAGAATGTTTACACATTGAGCACAAAGCAGGCCTGTAGAGCTTGAAAAATCAAATCCTTGTTGATATGGGTTAGTCATCTCCATGCTTCAGTTTGAATTCTCCACATCACACTCTCATGTTTTCCTATTTAACTTCAATGCAATTTCAGTTTAACTTCTGGAATATTTGTTTCAAATATACAGTATGACCTGGATATAAGTTTTGAAGTCGTTAAAAAAAACTGAAATGCGGTGAAAAAAACCTAGTCACTTTTAAACAGATTCTTT